TATGTTTAACGCGGGTTAATAATTTATATATATATATATATATATATATATATATCGTAATGCTGAAATAATAATTAAAGATGTGAGCTAGAGAATTGTGAGTATTTTAACGCCATTTTGTTCTGGGTGTATCAAAGGATGTGGTCCAATATTTGTTTCAAGCTAGCTTCCGTGTAAAAAAAAAAAAAAAATGCGATTGAGAGAAGTTAGCTCTACAGACCCCAAACTTGACTTTGTAGAACTTGACTTTAACTTGGCATTGATTAAACCTGAATTAATGAAAATTGATTTCAATAAAACTTGACTTTGATTAAATTTGAATTTGATGAACTTGAATTTAGTGTAGCTTGACTTTGTTGAAACTTGACTTTGATGAAACTTGACTTTGATGAGACTTGACTGTGACGAAACTTGACTTTGATGAAACTTGACTTTGGTGAATTAAAGGAGCGCAGATTGGGCTGAATAGGATGATGAAAGTAACACGTCTAAGGCTTTCGGTCCGCCCTCATCCCCCAAGCCCCGGTGTGTGGATCAAGGATCTTGAGAAGACAGAACCGCGCGAGCATGGAACAAAGGGGAGTTTACCCAATGTAATCCGAGGACGTGCAGGACGTATCAATGCGCTAAGAGTTATGTCCTTGTTCACTGACTAAGTGTTGTCATTTGAGAGCCGAGACGGTACTGCGTCGGTTGCGTGGTACAGGAGTCAGCGTGCTCCTTCAGCACACGTCACGTCTTCGGACGGTTCTCAGCCTGTTTCAGTCAGCGACCTCCCGTGATAAACTTTTGACAATTTATTGTGATCCGCAACGAGGGTTATGCATTGCATTAGAAATTGAGACACTTCTTTTCACGGAGGTGGCCGGTTTTGGGGGGAGGGGGAGGGGAGAATGGGTTGGGGTGTAGTGGGTGAGAATCAACTGTTATTGACTCAATTTATTATTTTTAAAATTTTAAAGTAATAATTATCTTGCATTTTTATTTTTCAAAATAAAAAAAAAGTTCATTCCAACATAAATACATGTTCATTCTAACATAAATACATGTTCATTCTAACATAAATACATGTTCATTCTAACATAAATACATGTTCATTCCAACATAAATACATGTTCATTCCAACATAAATACATGTTCATTCTAACATAAATACATGTTCATTCTAACATAACTACATGTTCATTCTAACATAAGTACATGTTCATTCTAACATAAATACATGTTCATTCCAACATAAATACATGTTCATTCCAACATAAATACATGTTCATTCTAACATAAATACATGTTCATTCTAACATAACTACATGTTCATTCTAACATAAGTACATGTTCATTCTAACATAAATACATGTTCATTCCAACATAAATACATGTTCATTCCAACATAAATACATGTTCATTCCAACATAAATACATGTTCATTCCAACATAAATACATGTTCATTCTAACATAAACACATGTTCATTCTAACATAAATACATGTTCATTCTAACATAAATACATGTTCATTCTAACATAAATACATGTTCATTCTAACATAAATACATGTTCATTCTAACATAAATACATGTTCATTCTAACATAAATACATGTTCATTCCAACATAAATACATGTTCATTCTAACATAAATACATGTTCATTCTAACATAAATACATGTTCATTCTAACATAAATACATGTTCATTCCAACATAAATACATGTTCATTCCAACATAAATACATGTTCATTCCAACATAAATACATGTTCATTCCAACATAAATACATGTTCATTCAAAAATAAATACATGTTCATTCCACAATTAAGAAATGTTTATTTCAAAGAATACACATTTGAAATTTTTCGATGTATTTTTTAAATGGATGAATATTTATCAGAAAGAATTGTTTCCTTTTAATTCAAATGTGTAACAGTGTACGATAAAGACTTAAAACTTACACAATGTCAGTGGAAGCTACCAACTTTACAACAATATATTTTTTAAAAAATTTAAAAAAACCCGATTGATGTATATAACATGTAATTTTGAAAATTGGAGATGTTACAAAGAAAATAATATTGCTTAGATTTTTTTAAAAAAGATTAAGTAAATTAAAAACATAACAAACAAACAAAAAACACGATTTCTGGCATGGTGCCTTGCGATCCACAAGTTGAGAACTGTTATCTTAGCCAACTGAAAAAAAGTCGTAGTTTTTCGTTTTTTCTTTTTTTTTTTAAAACTTACTCTTCTAAACTTTACCTAAACTTAAGAGTATTATTTTCTTTTATCTCAAATTTGTTCTTCATTTGTATATATATATTTACATTACCGGTTTGTGTAATCCATGATATATCTTTTTTTTTCTTTATACATATATTTTCTATATAAGTTTCTGGTACAATTTTGCACTTAAATTATCTTCCGTTTTTAATTCTTAATCAAACAAGTAGTCAGCTCCTACCCGGAAGCAGTTGCGTAGTTAAGATTAATGCCGCCCTGTGTGGGAAAGGATTTGCAGTATTATGAAGTGAAAAAAAAGAAAAGGTGCCGCCCTGGGCGGCGAGCCCCCTTCCCATACTACGCCACTGCTCTGAAACAAGTCTTCGCCCGGGCTTGTCATTCCCGGATCAACAAATTCGTTAGGGGTTAAGGCATTCCTGATACGGAAGATTTGCATCATGCTTCACAGAATGTTGTAGTACTGGTTGAAGTTACCTTCTGCAGGGTGAGAGAACGGAATAGTATGATTTGTCTACTTTGATTACAATTGAAATGTGGATGGAATAGTCTGATATGTCTACTTTGATTACAATTGAAATGTGGATGGAATAGTCTGATGTGTCTACTTTGATTACAATTGAAATGTGGATGGAATAGTCTGATGTGTCTACTTTGATTACAATTGAAATGTGGATGGAATAGTCTGATGTGTCTACTTTCATTGCAATTGAAATGTGGATGGAATAGTCTGATATGTCTACTTTGATTGCACATGTCATGCGAATGGAGTGTTCTAAAAGGCAGACTTTGATTGCACATGTCATGCGAATGGAGTGTTCTAAAAGGCAGACTTTGATTGCACATGTCATGCGAATGGAGTGTTCTAAAAGGCAGACTTTGATTGCACATGTCATGCGAATGGAGTGTTCTAAAAGGCAGACTTTGATTGCACAGATAACTTGGATATCAATTAAATCTGCTCTCCAGATTGTAGGCAACATTTAAATATTCAGAGATAAAAGTTATCATTAAAATAATAAATATAGAAAATAGTGGCTATTTAAAAACAAAAAGCTTTGGAAGTGGTGTTCCACCGAAGAAGTCCAAATGAAGAAAATCATTTCTATCAACAAGAAAAACTTCATTTATTACACAATTTGATAATTCTCTTACAAAATCATTTCTTGACTAAATTGTATCAGATGAAAATTACCTCTGTCCAGTCATCCACACAAACTAAATAGAATTGGACTTTAAAATTACTCATTATGGCTAAATCTCACTTCCTTTCCACTTTTCATTCCAGATATGAACACACAAACAAAACCAGTTAGGGCGCTACATACAAACACGGCCGACCTCACCAAAACCAGTTAGGGCGCTGCTTACCAACATGACCGACCTCACCAAAACCAGTTAGGGCGCTACATACAAACATGGCCGACCTCACCAAAACCAGTTAGGGCGCTACATACAAACATGACCGACCTCACCAAAACCAGTTAGGGAGCTACATACAACCATGACCGACCTCACCAAAACTACCACAACAAAACCAGTTAGGGCGCTACATACAAACAAGACCGACCTCACCAAAACCAGTTAGGGCGCTACATACAAACATGACCGACCTCACCAAAACCAGTTAGGGCGCTACATACAAACATGGCCGACCTCACCAAAACCAGTTAGGGCGCTTCATACCAACATGACCGACCTCACCAAAACCAGTTAGGGCGCTACATACAAACACGGCCGACCTCACCAAAACCAGTTAGGGCGCTACATACAAACATGGCCGACCTCACCAAAACTAGTTAGGGCGCTACATACAAACATGACCGACCTCACCAAAACCAGTTAGGGCGCTACATACAAACATGGCCGAACTCACCAAAACCAGTTAGGGCGCTGCTTAAAAACATGACCGACCTCACCAAATCCACTTGGGAAACCGCATACAAACCTGATCGACTTCACTAAAGCAAATCTCACAACGCTGTCGCGCCACAAAGATGACCAATTAAAAAAAAGTCAAAAAAGTTTCTTAAACAAATATGCTAAATGAAGCATTAGTTTTTAAAGTAAAATAATGCCATTTTTTTAATCAAGCTTTATAAATTGGTAATACCCTCAAGATCATATTATCCATTAATTCATTAAAAATATTATGAACACATTTTTTTAAAGCTTACTATAAAAAATCTCTGCTGTAATACGAAGTTATGTCCACACAATATTCATATTACATCCTAAAATAACTCATTTCAAACATTCGCTTTCTTCTCGCTTATAAAAACCGATATCAGTTCCTTCCAGTGGTCAAGTTCTGGCATAAATAAAAGTGTTGAAACTCATCCAAGATCCCCCCCCCCCCTCAGACCCAATCCCTTAGTAATTATGTATTTCTTTCTTAACAAATACAGTGCAACAATTTTTTTTTTAAAAAAGCGCCTATTTAATCATGTATAGGTTATTTTGTTTACCATATTAATAAACTTGGCAACAACAGTGAGTGATGATTCCGCTCATGTGCCTGCCTCAATGCTCGCATACGTAAGGGGACCGACCTGCGGGACGCTAAAGGGCAGGACGTTCCTGTCGTGAAGACGGTACAGAGTGCCCCCCCAACCCCCTGCGTTCCTGCACGGCTCCAGCCCTGATTCGTTCACGGAAAAATTACGGACACTCCATTCGTGACTAGCCACCTACCGAAACAAGGAAGTCTTACATCTTCGGTAAAACAGACCCAACAAGAACACCCCCCCCCTAGTACCCCCCCTCTCAAACCCCACTGAAATACCACTGAAACATGACTCAAACCCAACTCAAACATGGCTCAAACCCAACTTAAACACCTCCCAAACACAACTCTAAACCCCTCAGAACCCAATCAAACACCAGTCAATTCCCACTCAAATTCAGTTCAAAACCTAGTCTAATTCCACTCAAACACGACTCAATATAACAAGAGTATCTCCTAGCTCCTACCAATATATAACAAGAATATTTCCCGGCGCCTACCACTATATAACAAGAATATATCCCAGCGCCTAACAAGGTATAACAAGAATATATCCCAGCGCCTACCAATATATAACAAGAATATCTCCTAGCGCCTACCAATGTATAACAAGAATATCTCCTATAGCGCCTACCAATATATAACAAGAATATCTCCTAGCGTCTACAAATATATAACAAGAATATCTCCTAGCGCCTACCAATATATAACAAGAATATCTCCTAGCGCCTACCAATATAAAACAAGAATATCTCCTAGCGCCTACCAATATAAAAGAAGTCTATCTTCTACCGCTTAACAATATATAACAAGACTATCTCCTAGCGCCTGCCAATACCCAAGCCGCTTAAAATATCTAAGAATCCAGATTTTCGTGGCGTTGTCGTAACACTGGTGCGTCTTGTGGTGAGGATTGTGGGAAGGATTGTGGTTCGTGTTGTGGTGAGGACTGTGGGCAGCGGGGACCTTGTAGTAGGTATTATCCTCCAAAGTGGATAAGGGATTGTCGTTGTCGAAACTGGATTTTTAGTTGCCGTCGTCATGAGTGGTACAGTAGTTGCCGTCGTCATGAGTGGTACAGTAGTTGCCGTCGTCATGAGTGGTACAGTAGTTGCCGTCGTCATAAGTGGTACAGTAGTTGCCGTCGTCATGAGTGGTACAGTAGTTGCCGTCGTCATTAGTGGTACAGTAGTTGTCGTCGTCATGAGTGGTACAGTAGTTGCCGTCGTCATGAGTGGTACAGTAGTTGACGTCGTCATGAGTGGTACAGTAGTTGTCGTCGTCATGAGTGGTACAGTAGTTGCCGTCGTCATGAGTGGTACAGTAGTTGACGTCGTCATGAGTGGTACAGTAGTTGACGTCGTCATGAGTGGTACAGTAGTTGCCGTCGTCATTAGTGGTACAGTAGTTGCCGTCGTCATTAGTGGTACAGTAGTTGCCGTCGTCATGAGTGGTACAGTAGTTGTCGTCGTCATGAGTGGTACAGTAGTTGACGTCGTCATGAGTGGTACAGTAGTTGCCGTCGTCATGAGTGGTACAATAGTTGCCGTCGTCATGAGTAGTGTAGTATTTGTAGTCGTTATTGGTGTTGTCGTTAAACTTGTTATTGGTGATATTGTAGTTGCCGTTGTCAAGGGCAGTATTGTTCGACGTGCATCGATAGTTTCAGTAGTTTGATTGTCTAAATTACCCCTTCTATCTGTGTAATTCCAATTTATAGCATATGTTTCCTTCCAATCTGTAATGTCTGTATTATTCCTATCAATTGTATCCTTGTCATTACCATTACTTGTGTATGTGTTACTCCAATCACTTGTATCTGTTTTATTACCATCATTTATATCTGTGTTATTCCCATCACTTATATCTGTGTTATTCCCGTCACTTATATCTGTGTTATTCCCATCACTTATATCTGTGTTATTCCCATCACTTATATCTGTGTTATTCCCATCACTTATATCTGTGTTATTCCCATCACTTATATCTATGTTATTCCCATCACTTATATCTGTGTTATTCCCATCACTTATATCTGTGTTATTCCCATCACTTATATCTGTGTTATTCCCATCACTTATATCTGTGTTATTCCCATCAATAATATATGTGTTATTGCCATCAATTGTATCTGTGTTATTCCCATCACTTATATCTGTGTTATTCCCATCACTTGTATCTGTGTTATTCCCATCACTTATATCTGTGTTATTCCCATCACTTATATCTGTGTTATTCCCATCACTTATATCTGTGTTATTCCCATCACTTATATCTGTGTTATTCCCATCACTTATATCTGTGTTATTCCCATCACTTATATCTGTGTTATTCCCATCACTTATATCTGTGTTATTCCCATCACTTATATCTGTGTTATTCCCATCACTTATATCTGTGTTATTCCCATCACTTATATCTGTGTTATTCCCATCACTTATATCTGTGTTATTCCCATCACTTATATCTATGTTATTCCCATCACTTATATCTGTGTTATTCCCATCACTTATATCTGTGTTATTCTCATCACTTGTATCTGTGTTATTGCCATCAATTGCATAATTTTCTACGTTATGAGCCTTAGTGGTAAATATTTTAATTCCAATATTAGGTTTGAATTTGTTATTTTCATCTTCCTTAGTGAATTTGTTATCGCTATCTTCAGTAGTGAAGTTGTTATCGTTATCTTCAGTAGTGAATTTGTTATCGTTATCTTCAGTAGTGAAATTGTTATCGTTATCTTCAGTAGTTAATTTATTACCCCTATCTTCATTATTGAATTTGTTATCGTAATCTTCAGTAGTTAATATATTATCCCTATCTTCAGTAGTGACTTTGTTATCACTATCTTCAGTAGTGAATTTGTTATCACTATCTTCAGTAGTGAAATTGTTATCCCTATCTTCAGTAGTAAATGTGTTATCCCTATCTTCAGTAGTGAATTCGTTATCGTTATCTTCAGTAGTGACTTTGTTATCCTCATCTTCAGTGGTGAATGCGTTATCCCGCACGTCACTATTGTATGAGTTAGGCATGATTGCCACATCTGAACACCCTCGGTATTGCTCCTGATAGTCTCCATACCCCAGGCCACATCCGGTCTCATTGCATCCCCAATTGTTTCCTGGAAAGGATGAAATGTTTGATTAGTCAAACGGGTTCTCAACCTTGTTTGAGACCTTACCCCATATTAAAGAAACAAAGTGGCCCGCAACCATCGTACATATAAACAAGGGAATGAGTCTAATCTTAATTTGAAACACACACACACACACACACATATATATATAAATATATAAATATATTTAT